AAGATAACCAAAACTTTTCTTAATGAGGTATAGTTGTAGCCCGCAAATTTCTGATTAAAATGACACATTTCCCAACTCTACAGGACCTTTCTTTGTAAAGTTATAGAATTTACAAGAAAAGCCCTAACTGTTCATTATCAGGTCAAAGCTACAGAAATAAGAAATTAATTTAGGGCTTTTCTTATAAATTGTATAACTTTGCAAAGAAAGATCGTGTAGAGCTGGAAAATGTCTCATTTTAATCAGAACTTTGCGCGCTACAAGCATGCCACGTCAAAAAAGGTTTTGGTTATTTTTTAAAGTTTCTGAAAGAGTAGTTTTTCAGAAAACCGGATCTTCGAAGGGCTATGAGGGGTCTCCATGGTCATATTCGGAATCAGCATGGTCAATAATCTAAAATAATTAGTAATAATTTACACAAGATTAACAACGTTATGCTTCAATACTCTTACGTTATGTAGAAGACTTTTACAGTCAAATTGTTGTATTGTTGATAGTGAGATTTTTAAGATTTTTGCATACTGTACGTGGTGAAATTCTTGAGAGTTTGTACTTCGAAAAGCGATAAGGAGAATGTTTAAAAATTAAAATAGCGAGGAATGAAATACGAAGTTCTGCGATCGAAGACTCCAGTTTGAATCAGACGTGCGCGATTACAATTACAAAATGTAAAGTTCAAACATTGCTATTATCTGTAGAATTAAGAATTCTAGAATTATGAACTTTACATGTATTCTAGAATTATGAACTTTACATGTATTCTAGAATTATGAACTTTACATACATGTAAAGTTCATAATTCTAGAATTCTTAATTCTACAGATAATAGCAATGTATGTACTTTACATTTTGTAATTGTAATCGCGCAGCCCTCGTTTGAATCTTTGCTAACTCACTCACACGCTACGGTAGCCCGTACTCCTGAACAATGTTCTACTATATAGCTTTCGAAAATCTTACTACGTACATTAATGTCTGTTAATAACTTAGGATGTGTTACATTACATTTCCGTTATGCACCATACGGATATTGTCACAGTAAAATTCAGATACGAAGTGCGAGAGTATTAGAGCACTATTGAATTAATAATAAATAATTATCTAAAAACGACTTTAACCACTATCAACAACAACAACAACAGATAGAGACTAAAAGCCATACATCATTTCTCGTTCTTTTTCTTTTATCTTCTTAAATGCATGCGAACTTCTAACACTACAAAAATTATTTTGGCTTATAGTAACAGTTTTGAACCTGGGATCTATACTTTGATTGTATGCTTCTTGTGAACACAGTTAGTGTTCACAATACGATCCTCTAAAGTTTGACTTCTTTTTCTAATTTATTCTAGAATTGTGTTTCAAATATTTTGGATAATTTAATTGATTCAAGTGCCAATGTTGTTTTTCCATTTTGTCCAGCCACAGCGACGACATCATCCACGCCACAAAGTGTATCGAGAATGGTACTATTAATAACACAGAAACAACTTCAACAATTAGTAAGATAGTTCATTTCTATGAAGGAGAAACCATTCTTATGTGTGTTGTGTACACCTATAGCGTTAAAAAAATTATATAAGAGATGTATAACGGTGTATCCAAAGTAGAATTTGAGGAAACAGAAGTAAATTCATGAACAGGATCGTAAAGACTTCTTTGAGAAACTAGATTGTCGCTTCGGACTACCTAGCTATGCACCGGTATCCGTACCGAAATACCGATACAGAAAATACCGATTTTATTTAACTTGGACCTTTTTGGATTTTTTCATTTGAAATGAGATATTTTAGCGTCCTGGACACCTCGAAAAAATCAGGGACGCAAAACAAGAGCTTTGTTTGTTTTCTAAAGCCAAAATTTTTCTTTTTTTTCTATCTGCATATGCTCAGAATACACAGCTGAGTATTTTTTATGCATTCTGCCTGTTCGGGACGCAAATCTTTGATTAATGATATTAATGATATTTTAGCGTCCCGAACAGGCAGAATTATCGTTATCTAGATAATATATCATAGATCGAACCGTAGTTATCCATACACTTCTAATAGACATCACAGATATTCACATCTTCAATCTTGATATATCGCTAATATGAGAAGAGCACGATATATCAGAACACTCTCCATAGACATTTGCTAACATTTGCGAAGGAGTGAAAAGACAGACATTCCTTATTTGATACGGCTCTATTATTTGCATTCGAGTTGGTTTTTTCTGATAGAAAGATTTGGGCAGCCGCGTTTCACGAATATATTTCAGATTCGAGTATACAAGGTTCATATATCTTTTAATAAAGACTTCTGATTCCTTCCGTCAGCAATATACAAGAAGCATGCAAGCGAATGAAAAATTTTGCGTTCTGTTTATTTTTCACTTTTCGTTCTCTTTTTTTCTTTAACGCGATGAAGAAATGTTTTTAAACAGACAGAAGAGAAGAATTCTTCTTCTGTCTGTTTAAAGATTCTAATACATCATGCTGTATCAGAATAGTTGTCACGGCTCTGACCGTCATATACATAAAACACCTTACTTTTTTTAACGTTGTGTGCAGTGAAGATAATTTCTTCACGTCTTTTTGCGGTTTTAAACTACTACTTCGGCGTCATATTTTGTCAATGTATTTGTTATAAAAATAGCACGTAAGTCCCATCATTAACATTATATTTTAAGTGCGCTGTAGTTTCAGTCAGTGTGGGAACGGAGAGATGCAAGTCTTCCTGCTTTAGTCGTATCAAATAAAAAATAGGCCTTTAGCAGTCAAACAGAGACTGACATTTGTTTCACATCCTGTTTTCCTGTAGAAAAGGAACATTTTCTCCGACCACTTTACTCGTCAAGAAATTTCCCTTTTTCAGCTCAACAATTGCTCTAGATCTAACAGTTTCCCCGTGTATCAAATAATCTGTGCAAAGACTTCAAAATAAAAATGTATTTTGCGACGAAGTTTTGATTACATGTGTTGCATTAAAAAAGACATGCGATAAAAAGTTACAATACTATAAAATAGAGATGTCTTCAAATAATCATAAAAATGTTTGCCAAGTTAAAAAAAAGTTAAAATAGTTTTATATGACAATTAAGAGTTGAAAGGATTATAAGATGTAAGTACTTATCGAAATTAGAAATGCTGTGTAAAGCTTGAGCGCAACTCCTAGCTTTGAATAACCCACTTTGATTTTACCATGTTCCCGAAGAGAAATCCGGGCAAAACGTGGGAAATCAGTGTTTCAGCTAGTCCAGGAAAAGCTCTCCAACGAGAGCCGTTTTTTCACATAAAAAATTTCCTTTCTTATGTTCTCAAATTAAAAAACTGATATTTTATATACAATGACAATGACGAAAATCTTTTTATGGTCAAAACTGGTTGGAAAAACTCCGCATAAATTCTTTTGAACAAACCTTTTTTTTCATAAAAATTGTGCATTATTTGATGCGCAGATTCCAAACATTGCGATTGATTTTGATATAAAAAAACAGTTTTAGCAGCACTTTTCTTTGTTCTCGCAACTGACTAATTTTACAGTTGAAACTACATGGAATTCTAATATAGATGTCTATTCTTCTGCATATAATATGATTTTTAAAGCAAAGAGCATGTTCAGCCTCATATTAAACAGTAAAACAATTTTACGAAACAGCAGCGTCTCTGTTGACGAATGTGTCTGTATAAATAAAGCCAGCTATTTTTCAAATTTGCCTCTGTTCTGGTTTAAAGAGCAAAGTGCGCAGAATACACTATGCTTTACAGGGCAGACATCGGACACGTGGGATTAAGTCTCTTTTATATCCGAAACGGATCCTAAATGTATTCTTATCTTCAAATGTTAGCGCAATATTTAGAATCTGTACACTTTGTATACTTTTTGGCAGGAACCAGACTGTAGATGGAAAAGCAGAGTACAAGCGTACATTGTATAAAAGAAATC